ATCAAAATAGTACTGAATATTTGAACTAAACCACTGCAACCGGTTTTCGTTTGCATTTTGGGCAATATCCTAAGGATTAGGCCGCTTTGATGTGTAATATTGAATATATAAAACGCGTGAATATCATACCTGTGAATAGCTATGTATGCATGGCGGTAAAACGCCATATTTCCACTGGAATTTGCAATATTTAGCCTTGAAATTTACCATATTTGCGATTTTGTCAGTTTTTTATATTTACTATTATTCAATGCCATGCCCAATTCGACAATATTCTGAAAGGTTCAGTAGTTAAATGTACCACATAATTCAAATGCTACAACAGTTTGAAAGATTTACTTGCCTTTTAAATTCCGACTTTCCTGCTCGATGGGGTTCTAAAGCTGGTAGGGAAATAAAGCCTTTTAATAATGATTGAACTGTAATTTTTTGTGAACTTCATGAGAGAAATAATCGAACAAATACACACATACTATGATACATTGGCTTGGAATATGCTCCAAAACGTGTGAAATCGAACATTTGTTGTGCAATCACCTTGCAAATATCACAGAAACGGGATCAAAATTTGAATATAGATTAACCAATCTGATTGGTTTTTATTGAACCAATCATGGAGTACAAAAATTGACCAATGACAGATTGACCTGTGCACAGAAATAACCAATCAAGTTGTCTTAATTTTGCTCAATTATGCAAGAGCCTACAGGCTATAAAACAGAGCCATCTGCGACCGTTTTCTTCAGGTAAGTGAGTTCTTTCTTTAGGGAGGATCAAGGTATGTGTAATTATTTTTTTAATAGAAGTAGATCCCCGTGGCCACTCTGTTAGCTAAGAATCTCTGTCCCCGTATCTGGAAACACGGCTCACTGCTTGTCTAACTGTGTTTTGCTCTTCGTTTTCTAGGGAGCTACTAATAATTTTTTTTGTGTTTTTCAGACAAAGACGATCGTAGTTTAGTTTCAGTATCCAACCCTAAGAAGCCACCCCATATCCATGCCGTCAGTTAAACCCCTAGCCACAATTGCCTTCAAGCTAATTGTGAATGGTTGCTTTTCTAGGAACAACTCACCATATTTTTTGTCGTTTCAGCTACAGAGTTAGTGGGTTGTGGGTTGTTGGATGTTGTGTCGTCGGTTGTGTGTTTTGTGTTGTGCGTTCGTATTGTCTGCCAGTCGGTTTGCGAGTTGCCTTGTAGCTCTCGCTTTTTCCTGGCCACACAAAGAACACATTTCGGATACTCCTTTTTAGGAGATTGGGTTCGACTCCCATGAATGTGTCAATTTTGCACTGATATCTAATGTGGTCCGTCTTTAATACAAAAGCACAACATCCAACGGACAATCTGCATCCTTTCACCACACCAACTACAAGTGTTGTCCTCATACAACAGAATGAAACTTCCAACAGAGTAAGGAGTAACCAATACCCAAGATGAAGTTCTCGTAACTTCTCAAACAGGACAGGATGCGGCATTTGTTAATGAAGTATTCTCGATGTTTAAGGGATCCTCTTAGTTAGACGTCCGATCAGAGGATATTTCAAAGTGGTAAGCTGATTTAAACTTGTGATTACTGTGCGAATACTTCACCCATTTTAATAAATATGAGACCACTAAACTCATTGCTGTCTGCTCGTAAACGGCGCACACAGATAATTTCGATTTTATCTAGAAGTATTTTATCAAATCAACTAGAAATTGTGTTATCTCAAAGAAAAAACATTTACCTATTTGTATAAATTTAGTTCATTTCAAAAGCTTTCGTATAAGCCAAGATATTTATTGCCGAACTTGTACTTTTTAAATTGAATTTTAGAGAAGCGAAAATACGCAAAGCCTTCCAAAAATCTCGCCTAAAAACCTCCAAATATTTCTAGTATACATTGGGATCAATATTTTCATCTATTTTACTTGAAATACAGTCGCTTTGGCGATTTGTAGTGATATTTCCAACAAACGTGTTTACAAATGGACCGGAAAATGTGCATTTAATTATCACCATATTGTCGAAATTTGACTTCTAGGGACAATTTTACCCCGGAAATCGATTACCGGGCTTATTTTACCCCCACAGGGTAGGCAACGTTACCTTTTTGATACCTCTAACCTCAGGTGACAACCACATGTGCGTGCGGCTGAGCAACGCCTCGCTATACACAATAACAAATAAAAAAAGCTATATTTTTCGAGTTTTTCTGCCCATCCTGACTTAAAAACTATCAGAAAAGATCACTAAAGCCTTTACAGTTTACATGTAACGGTTAAAAGACGACAGGATAAAAATAACGAAGAAAATAACGAAATTCCAAAGGCGAATTATATTTCCGTTTGTAATCCCGTGTAATTTGATATGATTTTTAGAGCTGCACTGCAGTGTCAGGTTAACAGCAATATTGATTAATTTCTGGATTAAAACAGAAGCGATTGGGTTAAAGTATTTTTCTTTAGCTATATTTTGGTGGTATTTTTGTGCTTTTTAAATTAAACGGATTAATTTAAACATTAAAAAACCATGATAATTTCATGATATCTGGTGATGGGAGGCATGACAAGAATTATGCCTACACAACATTTTGCTGTACAGTTCGATATGTCATTCATTTTACACTGGTGTTATTAAAAATAGATTTATTTTCTCCCTTTCCTATTATGTAATTGCCAATTACCAATATACAGGGGTTGGGGGCATTATGTGAATATGAAAGAAAACAGCCTGCATTTTGTTCTGTATATTCTTTTTGTTATAGAAGTCACAAAATACATGCTGTTACTATACAGTATAGGGCCTTGTGATTCACATACAATTATAGTTTCAATTGTGTGAAAGTGATGTTCTTGTAATCTCAATTGTAGATTCTATTGCATATAGAGCCGAATTGGTATGGCAACATATCTTTGAGAATTGAAGTTTATGGCGGTTCTTCAGGTATGTTCTAGCAATTCACTGAAGTACTATTTGTTCGCTAAGGAATGTTGTCCCATGGTAGCGGTACGCACAAACCTGGGATATCACAATGCTGATAGCCTCACAACTATGGACAATAATATATTAATTTACTTGTTCCTTGTTTCTCAATTTTAGATCAAATAAATTATGGCAACCCAGGAGTCGCTAACAATTATTACCTTTCTCTTATCACTGACTACACCTCCATCCATCGCTGTGCCATACATGGATTTGATGGACTGACATACCAAGCAAGGTAAATATTGCAGGCTACATTGGTATATGTTCAGTTTATTATTATGTCATATTAAGACTGTTGGACATTATTTTTTTATTCAGTAATTCCCCTATATGGGAATGTGATAAAATTCGAAGTTAACCCCCAGTAAAGATTTCACAAAATCAATTGAAATAACGCTGTACCTCGACTGGTTTCAATTCTGGAGGCCCCATATATGGCACAATTATCTGCATTATCGTTTCATTTTTGTTGATGATTGTTTCGATGGTGTTTTGGTGCCGGAAGATAGAATAATTGATACTAATTATTGCCCCCCGTACTGAAGACACATAACATCTCAGATAATAGCAACAAGTGTTGGGAATGCGGATAAGTCGACAGGACATGGTCGCTTAAATGAGGCAGCTTCTTGATCTGCACGGAAAAATTACCAGGACCAATGCATTTAAATTGACTTCGGCAAGAAAGATGTTGTTGGAGCGATTTCACTCAAAGTCGCCGTAATTATGATTAGCGGGTGAAGACCTACTCTGTATCCTTTAGTTCCGACAGGCAAAAGTTCGCTCATTACAAAATAAATTGATTAGTCAGGGTTAGCTGGATTAATAAGCAAGGCTCCTACAGATTACCCTCTCACGTTATATGCATCACATCATTTCCATGCGGTCATATATAACTTTTAATGTGTGATTAAGATTAATTGTTTAACAAATTACTCATTTCATTAGAGACTCACTAGTTGAAAATGTCCTATCACCAACTGTAACCGCGCTTTACATCCGCATTCATCCAAAGACATGGTACGCAACATATCTTTGAGAATTGAAGTTTATAGCTGTTCTTTAGGTATGTTCTAGCAATTCACTGAAATACTATTTGTTCACTCAGGAATAAGAAATGACTGAGAGATCCATCTGACTGAAATATATAGCAAAAATATTTCAATAAGTGGCTTATATAAGAGTGAGTTTTTGATTTAGAAATAAATTGTTTACACGATGAATTTTTTTTCTATTTTTCAATTCTTACCCCTCCAGTGGGTTTGTCAGGTTTTTTACTAACTTAGGTGCATTGGAATACAAGTAAAAATAAGGGTGTTTTAGAAGTTATACCTGGACGGGGAATCCAGCATATCATTATGAGGAACAAAGCTATTATAGCGGTATATACTCAGGGCTATCACAATCAAGTTTAGTGTTATCGCTTGATTTTAATGTTTGCTGCACGGTCGGATTTTCGCATTTAAAAGAAAATCAAGCGAAAAGTTTTACACGTACAAAAGTATAGGTATGGAACTGTTCTTTAATTTATCGGAAGAACTAGCGCGTTTTTAACCCACCACGTGTGTCAATGAGGATGCATATTCCTTCGATGTGATCTTACAGCAAGCATTTTCAGCCATGCTATGCAAATTTTATGTTATTATCATATTAATTTCTTTAGAAATCCATTGTTTTCACAGTGAATGAACTCCAAAATATTAGCAGAGCATGACTAAATTGTCGTGTTAGCTACGCAACTGAGTATTTTATTTGCTCGCAGAGACACGTCTGTCGAACGTGACCGTCGGCTAGTCTTCACCATGAACGCAAAAAACGTTCGCAGAATGCGCTCTGCTTTCGTGAAACGAAATCACGGACAAAACTCGGAATTGAGATTAAGTTCAATACACAAGCGACACAAACCTTTATAAGAGTTTCGTCATCCGAGGCACACAATAAAACATTTTCTGGCTAGAGAAGAAAAAGTTAAATTATGGTAATTAAAGATTAGGATATAAAGACAGTAATGATTAATAAATGAGTGCGCGTTTACCTTCCAATCCCTGTGGGTGATGCCATTTTCATGTAAGTGCAAAAATACGAAACAGTATGAATAAAGTTAGTTTAGTTCAGGCTCCTGTAGTAACACTGGATCAATAACAGATGATCCTTAGCTTGGTATCATTAAAAGCGCCAATCTCTTCCTAACATTTTCCATAAACTTTAGTCATCGCCTGTGAATAAAATATTCCAACTTGTTTCATTCATTCTTCGAAGTCTACACATAGCTAGACTCTCGCTAAACGACATCCCCACCTGAAGGCACATTGCTTTCATAGTTGGTTTAGTTGTCAATCGGAATCTGTGGTACAGATCGTTAAACAACTCGAGCCTGAAAACAAAATAGAAAAGTCGATCGAATCGTGAATTGTTTCATCCATGATTCTATACTTCTCTACTACATACTGCAGGACAAATAACATTGTGTGAACTGTGCAGCAATATGGAGAATAGGACGCTAAGGTATATTATATATTAGGTATCTGGAATCGTTTTTATGCAGCGGGAAGCAGGACAGTAGTTTGAATATTTGCAAATCCTGATAGATAAATGTCGTGGACTCACACATTTGTTATCGGTGTTTCCCCGTCGTTTTGTTCCAACAAGACTCTCAAATAATAGTCGCCTGATAGGAGAGATACGTTACTGAGTTTGATTATTGCTATGGAGAGATAGGGGGAGGGCGCTTTAAAAAGAACTGTTAAAAAGCTAGAGCAGTATAAGGATTATCACTAACCTATTTTCAGTTGATCAGGTAACCATTCATACAAGACTTCAAACTAAAGGTGATTCCAAAAAACAACGTAGTTTCCACTCAGATCTTTTTCCATTGCAAATGCGCGCAACTCAGATTCGAGAGCCCCAGAAGTTCCTCTCGCGTTTGTCACATTGAAAACAAAAGAAATTGTTTCAAACTCTTTTACGAAACAGTTTAGAGAAAGAGGTCAGGACTATTGAATTTGTCTTGTTATACTCATAGCGACAGGAAATCCTCCATTACCTTTTCATTTCCTATATTTTCAACGGAAACTAACCTTAACTTCGAGACTCACCTTGTAATTCCAAATCAGGTTGTACGCTTTCAGATCTTGACTGAATCTGTAAAAAAGATCCGTTTAAATACCATTGCTTTTTATCTTTCAAACGACTAGAACATTTTCCCATTTTCTTAATATGAACACTTACTTGTAATAAAACAACTGGATTTAAATTCTCACATCTTTCCTGAATTTGAACCCTATTTTTGTCCTCCAATGCGAGAGATATCCTTCAAGTTTATTCCTCGACGTTCCTCTCGCTTCTCCAGAGCTCTAACAGACAAGTATAGCACGTGAAATAACAGGCTAATACGTACATACAAGCATGCATTATGAAATTTTGGAACACGATTGTTGCCTTAAAACGTACTCTGCAAGCTTTACATTGTCACGAATTGATTAATAATCTTCTTTAGTCTCTGGTGGCTAAAGGAAAGATAAAAACTTTCCAACAAAATTGTTTCTTTACAAAAAGGTTTTACACTTCTGAATGAATTACCTTTTAATTATTTCGTCAGTGGGACAATTTAAGGATGAATGATGGAGTTTAGTTACCAAAGCAGTTGATACCACTTAGTCACTATTACATAATTGTTTATGAACCAAAACTTACGAACAGGAAATCTCGCATTTAAACTTTATTGTATATTTTAGACATTAAAAACTATAACTACTTTAATACGAACATTATTCTCAAAAGTAATGCCATTGCTGTTGGATGACCAGTTGTCCAGAGAGCCACAAAATATCCACTCAATTGCCTATATGCCAACAATAAAGATTATAAATTACTTATGGAGTATGCTTGTTAGTCTCAATTGAACTATTTAAAGATGGCTAGTATATAGAGGATTATAAAATCACAAGTTTTAAGATGAATCTAAGAATGTTGCTAAAATGTTGCTGGTTGAGTAAACAGCGTGTGTCGTGGTTAAAGATAAACGTTTCTCACCTAGTGAGCGTTGTGAAAGCGCGAAACCTGCTTTGGATCGAACCCAACTTCTCAAATCGTGAAACAGTGCTTCGAGATCTTTATCTCATATTTTGTTTGGTCTCCTGCAAATAGACGAAACTTTTTAACTATTTTATGTATATATAGAACACCTGTGAAGGTAATAGCACTCAGAATATGTATTTTTGGGTTGAACACTAAATAAATTTATTGGCAGAGATATACAATACCTTTGTGAGCAATGAGCATTTTGATAAGTCTTTCTTTATTCCAGAAAAGTCCCTACAAATATTTAAAATCGTTTGAAATATATATTGGAGTTTAAAAGACTTAATATTCCAGCCGTACTTCTGGCGGGAAAATTTCAAAACTACCATTTCATGGATTCGGACCCAGTCAACTCAGCAACCAGAGTTACCGCAGCCTAGTCCCTAGGCTTCTTAATGTTCCTTATACGCGGCGAGGCGGGAACTGAGAGGCCTAGAACAAAATGTTTTGTTTTAGCTAAAGTCGGGACTTTTTGTCCCCACTTTCTGTATTGAGGTCAGTTTACGATCTACGACGCGGTTAACTGGCCTTGTTCGACGTCGTTAGTCAAACATTTGCTTGAAATAAGCTACGGGATATTAATATATTGCCAGGAGTCGAAATATTCATACAAACGTTTCAATGTCGCTCGCCGTCAACGCTATCGACTATCAAGTAAACTCGAGTCAGTACGTACATGTTTATGATTATAATAAACTTCAATCCACCAATTAACAATTATTGGATGAGGTTGAGTGTGATATCGAGAATTATCAAGCTGAAGTTTGCGTTATTTGCCGAAGCGAAGCTGAGGCGGATAACGCAAACTGAGGCTTGATAATTCTCGATATCATGCGAAAACCGAATTCAATAATTGTTTTATTATGTATTTCCTTTTTAAAGACGAAGTTTAACAACAAACTAGCGGTAAAAATTACGTCACCTACGGATAATTTTCAATGTCGTGTAGGTGGCAAGACATTGAGAATTATCTGTAGCTTTTTAGCCAATCACAATCGATATTGCCTTAGCAATGCATAATAATTTAAATTATTCTCGCTTCCTTTATAACGGTTACTGTTGTAAATTGCAAACATTTACTTTAATAACAATTCTAATTTCAAGTTCACAACATTAAACGGGCCGTTAAGATTAGAAATATTTTGTGTTAGGCCTCTCGCGCGCGTTTCATTCGGTAACGAGACGGAAATATAAAACACGCGCAATGAGAGGTCTGGGACTAGGCTGGAGTTACGGCGGTTTTTAGGGAGTACTATTAGTGTTTTGTGTACATTTGTGCACAGAACAGTAGCAGGATAGGGTATTTTTATTAAAGCCATACTCTTTGCCTTTTGCTATACTGGATAAACCAGTTTAAATGTACCGTGTTGTTTGCAGACATTTTAAACCCTGCTAAATGTTTTCAATTAGCAGCCGAAATGGGCAAATGTTTTCATTTAACGTAACTGTGCAGCCTAGCAATCGTTTAGTTTACACTAAAGGCTGCTTTCTATATACGCGTTTTTTATACGCATGTACACATACGGAGAATTTTAATTGCTTTTAAATTTTTATTAACTAACATGCATCTAGGTCGATTTATTCACTTAGTTTTTTCAAAGGTAACATGTATAAGAATTTAGATTTTTATGTGCGTGTACGTGCGTATGAAAAACACGTGAGTGGAAAACAGCCTTAATCCAGATTTGACAAAACATTAAAACTCAATAAAAAGGCAATAATATTCTCTACACAGGATTTCGTCTGCAGAAAAGTACAAGATAAGAAGTTGTCAACTTACGTCTTGGGTGACTGCATGAAGTAGACCGCAGTAGGAAATATTGCAGTTAAATCTGTACACAGCTTCGGTTAAATTTCCTGCAAGGAACCAGTCATAAGACAATATAAGCTTTTGGAGATATTTCAAAAATTTAAAGTGAAATAAAAAGGGAAATATTTCACCTGGAGATGCAGCGAGGAATTTAAAAGACTGCTTTCTACTTCTTCGTCAACAACATTATACAATGGACCCCAACGATAACCTTGAAAAATATATCATCTTAAAAAAAAATTCTTCTTTTGCTGTATGTGATGTATTGAACTGGCTAATAGGAATAACGCTATTAGCTGATACCTGACGAGAAGTGTAATTGTTGGTGTGTTATATGAGATCACATACGTCAGCAGGAGAATGAAATGAGGGATCCTATTTAGGGTAATCATAGCAGTACGAGATTTTCATCAGGAAAATTTTGACCATAATTTTCGCTCAATCATCTATGAATAAGCGTACAGTACTTCTCTTCGTTAGGGTCGTTTTTACGCAAACATCTATGTTTCAACTGGCTCTAACACCGTCTAGCAAACCAGCCAATAATGTTTCCCTAGATCGAGTGAAATACAAAAATTCAAAACAAGAAATATTTTTTTTAGCTTCATACAAAATTTGCTTTCTTACACTACCTGTCAGGAGACGAGTAATTTCTCAGCTGACCGCTTGTGTATTCCAGCCCGAACGACTGAGGATGGTTTCGATATCGAATTATTAAAAATATCTGACAGGAAAAGAAGTTTGAAAACTATGATATACTATACGGTATATACGGTATATTCTGGAAAGTAACTGGAAAAATAAAACTATTTTAACTCGGCTGGATACTTTTTTGCAATTGGACATGTTCAAAATGGAAACGTGAAATAAAAAAGACGATAAAAGCAGTAAACTTGAATCCAGGTCGGAAAACATTGAGTGTTTGGAGTGTTTTCTTTCAAGGTCAGATATGAACAATTACTGGAACTGACATGGAATGTCGCATGACTTAATGAGCTAAGGGGATGAAGGGTGACGATATTGTACGTTTCTAAGAAACACAGCGTTCTTTCAACAGGATCCTAAATTTGAGAGTGTCAAAACGATTTTAAAATGAAAAAAAGGATAGACTCTTAGAAGAATTTTATTAACAACATAACTCACTTTACTCCGAGGAGTTTCTTTATAGACGCTGAATTCTGACATGATGTGATATTCGTCATCACTGAAAAAAAATTGTCATTTACTGTCATATCCCACATTCTTTACACAGGACAAACGAAATACTGTCTTAATAATATATCATTCAACTGTATTTTCCAAATTTGTTTTAAAAAACGACTCCACTTTCATGGAACTTTTCTTCTGCCTAAAACCGAGGCAAAAGAAATAACAAATACAGCTCAAAGTAAATTACAGACCTGGAAAAAATTTTGTCAAAAACGGTTAAAACGTAAACAAATAAAGTAACCTGAATATAAGTCATTTTGTCATTTACTTAAAATTTGTTTACTTAAAATGTTCACATACTTTATCGTAACACCAACGTTATTGAAAGAAGATCATCTTTTTCAGCAATTCCTCTCTGATGTGAAAAGATGCTGGAAAACAAAAGCAAAATTGTGCACAAAATGTAAAACTTCCATTTACAGAAATAACTGGTATCTTATCTTTTTGTTATATTATGGCTGGTACTAGCAACATCTGGTACATACCATGGTGCTAAAACCACCACAGACAACAACAAATCCTTTAGGATAATCTGAGATCTAAGTATAGAAATGGAATGAAAGCCTGAGTTGAATTATTCCAATCACAAATATTCAAATGTCTGGCAATATCAAGTATATATATATATATATATGAAGACACAGGTAAGTTATCAAGAAACTTGAAAACAATAATAGTACCTCTAACGTCACTGGAACCTTTCGTTCACTCCAATGTAATTTATAACCACTAATCTTCTGCACAAAAATATGGCATATGTTGATGTGGAAATAGTTTGGAAACATTAGCTTTAGCTAGCTTATCACTTATTAAAGAACCCACTTATTAAATTAGAAATGGAATATGGGTCTAATTTTTGAAAGAGAGAGGGGGGGGCATTGATACCATGATGAATTACGATTTGGAATTCGTTGTGAATAGTTTCATTTTATACAACTGGAACGATAAGTCCTGACAAAAATCCCTATTTAGCTTGAAGCCAAAATAGTTCCCCGTACTAATCCTAATGCAGCCTCTTTGATGTCTTTCTACGCTGTTTCATCCTGAGGCTGCAGCAACAAAGACAATTTACAGTGATTAGATGTAATTATATGTCTCTAGATGTTCCTACAAATACCTTGCAGTCTCTATAATTACCTTACATGTTCTTTACACGACGGCTTGACGTATCGCTTGAGAGGATCTACTGGACAGTGGCAATCTGGAATTGATAAATGAAATATATATCAGGGTTCAGGTTAGGAAGCT